TATACTCTTTAAATATATTATGTTTTAATTATTATTTAATTAAAAAAAAATCCACAAAATAATTTAAAATAATTAATTACTATTCATTAAGTAATTTATGAAATCAGTAAAATATTTAAATATGCACTAAAGAAATAATAATTAAAATATAATTACTAATTAAAGTAATTAAAAAAGGCTAAGATATTACCTAATTACATATCATAAATTAAAGAAGTTGGCCAAAAAATAAAAGTAAAGAAACCAAAGTTTGCTCTTAAACTAAGGAACCTTTAATCTAAGGAACAATAAAGAGCAAAGTTCATACTCTTAAACTTATAGCAACGATTTTGACCACAAAACATCTAGAAACGAAGAAGATCCTTTGTTTGTGGTGGTGTTGTTAGATTTGGATCGCTAGACTCCAATATAAATGGTTGCGGTGAACGCTCTCTGATTTCAACTTGAACGCGTCTTTCTTGATTCCCAGGATTGTTGGCCCTTTTTGCCTCCTCTTCTTGAGCTTTGGTTGGCAAGAAAGTGTAGTAGTTAGTGGTCTTCATGTTATCAGCCATGAGAATTGAATGGTTTTTCTTTTTGTCTTTTAGAGTGGATGAAGAAATTTGATAGATGAAAATTAGGGTTTTGGTTCGGGTTTTATAATGATGCATGGATGCAGTGTAATAGGAAAGTTGGATGATGGTTTACATGTAGGGAGTGTAAATGGAAATTTTATTTATTATGAAATAATAATGAAATCTTGGCACACGCATACTGCATATTAATAATAAAAATAAAAAGGAAATGTATAAAATAATGAAACTTTTTCTTTACTCTCACGTTTCCCTAATTTTATTGTTCTAAACCGAATTATTTACCCGAAAAGAGCTTCTGCTTGATTTCCTAGTTGCCGGTCTATATACAAAACTTAGCTTTATTTTGTCATACAAATTGGCTTTGAATACATAAAAATGATACTGTCATATACGAAACTTAGTTTTTTATTTTCGTGTCATACCCAAAAAGAAGTTTTGTTTTTCGCAAACAACAAATATATGCATTTGCAAGAATACTGAAATCAACAAATCTTTAAACAGTGAAATAATCTTTAAAATATAAAAAGTTAGAAAAGCCGAAAGGAACAAAGAGTGTTGTCCCTCACCATAGATATTACAGGAGATTGGAAAGGAGCCAGCGCCATCACCACAGCGAACCTTTGCTATGTCGCCGTGCATGGCATACAAATTACAATTTGTAAGTAATGAAGATTGAAGCTTCTAGAAGATTCCAGAATCTACAGCCCAGCATTTTAACTAATTTCTTGGTTAACCTCTCTGTTAAGTTGTTAAGTAGCATAAAGGTCGATAAAGTCACTAACTAAACTTTTAAAGGAGCCAAGCAAAAATAGAAAGACTATCGTGAAGTTCATCATGAAGTTATGAAAAACCAGACACATGGAAAACTCATGCTACTGAACACTGCATGCATAGCAACATATACATGCTATATATGTGTCATGAAAAACAACATTCATAAAGGCTATAAAACCATTCTCTCTCTCTCTCTCTCTCTCTCTCTCTCTCTTGCCTTCCCCGTTTTCCATTTCACTTTAATTTCATTTCTCTCTCTTTGAACGAAGGCTGGGAATGGGAGGAACTTGGCCAACAGCTCAAGGGACTTGTCAGCTCCTTGCAAGACCAAGTCAGTTAATCCTATTAATATTTATTCAGTTTATTGCCTTGCTTATTTTTAGCTTGCTTTCTCTTTTCATTGATTTTACCAAGTTTTCTGGCAGGGCATTTTGAACGACTACTTTGACAAACTGAAAGGGTTACAAACGATCCTTGCTTTGTCCATGAATGTATCACCATCTTCCTTCGTGAAGCTCAAGATTACAGAGCAGAACTCACAACAAATCTGTAATTAATTTCCTTCACTATTCCCATGAACTAATAATTGGAGTTTTACATATTATATATTTATACTAATTTCGGACAATTCAATTAATTTTAATTAGGAGTGAGTCTGATGTCAACTATATCCTAAGGTGCATCATGCATGATGTTGCTGTCAAGCTCAAAGCCGGATGGTCCTTGTTTGTCAAGAGCTCCGAGATGCAAGTGAAGCAAAGAACAAACAAGGGTAACACTTTTTTTGTTTTCTCTCATGATTGCCAAATAACAATAAAATAACAAATCAATTCTTTTTGTTTTCAACAACATATTATCAATTTGAAGGAAACTATTGTGCTTGTAGGTGCCTTGTGGGTCTAGACAATGTCAACCGTGAATATCTTGTCACTCGAGAGAATTTGAATCGTATTGTGGATGCCAATTGGAAACTTTATGTTAGAAAGTATGAAATTACCCATAAAAAGGGAGAAGGAAGGATTAGGTTGAATAATAATAAAATATTATTCCCATCAGTTACTTCACTAAATATGAAAACTGTTCAACACATTCTTTAACAAAGATTTACCAACGATGTGTTTGGATGTGGAAGTAAGGAATTTAAAATGATGTAAATTAATGTTCTAGAATTTACAAAGTTTTTTGTTTGGTTAATGGATTTAACTAGAATTCACTATTTTAGAACTATATTTCTCTTGGAATTTTAGAAATGACAACTATTTCGATAGAATTTAAAGTTGGTATTTATGACCTCCAAATTCCATATTTTTTCCATGTACAATTTCTAAATTTCTTTATTTTTTTTTATCCAAACACAGGAATTGGTGTATGTCAATTTAGAAATTTTAACTTTTGTCCAAATCCTAAGTTTATTTCACCATCCAAATGCACCGATTGTATCCATAGAAAGAGTATAATGTAATCATGGACCCAAACGGTTTGTTCATACTTGGCAAGGGCAATGAGCACTAGTCCTCCAATAGCTAGTTAAGTGCCTAAGAGCATCCACAATGGGCTCCCTAAACCACCTCTCTCTCTCTCTCTCTCTCTCTCTCTCTCTCTCTCAAACTTCGCTTCTCTGACGCTCTCTCGCTCTCCCCCTTCGAGCGAACCGAAGACCCCCACATAGTTTTATTGAATATTAATTGAATTGATTATTACTGAAAAAACTCAAATCGTGAAATCGAAATATACTATATGTAAGTTTCTGTCTTCTGTTGCTGGTGTAGTTTCGCTGGAAGTTTGATACACTACAAGAAAAACAGGTATTAGTGGCCACCGACTTGGTCACAGAAACTACCCTTTTTGGTCACTGAATGCAATCAGTGTCCAAATATTGGTGGTCACTGGGTGGTCACTAGAAGCTCGTCACAAATTCTATTTAGTGGCCAATGTCAACTATTGGTCACTACAACACAAAGAATTAGTGGCTATCACTGTCTGGTCACTAATAAAAACACTATTAGGGACCACAAATTTGGTCACTAAAGGGCTTACAATTTGGTCACCAAAACATGCATTTTGGTCACTGAAACTGGGTCACGTGCCCACATTAGTGACCTACTTGCTTGGTCACTAATGTACATGCATTTTGGTCACTGAAACTGGGTCACGTGCCCACATTAGTGACCTACTTGCTTGGTCACTAATGTTTTTAAAAAAATTGGTAACTAATTAGGTTTACCTCTCCATGTTCTTTATTTACTGTATTACAATATGAAATCACAATTAATTTCTTTTAAACAATGCTGTAGATAAAATTTATAGCATCAAATAATTCATTGCATTCAAAAGCAATCCATATATCTAACATTCTTCCAACAAATTCACAAGATGTCTCAAAAACAAAATGCTACATGTTTAAGTTCAACCTAAATGTCAAGTGATTCCCAAAAACAAATAACATAAGATCCATCACTAGTAGATTGTTTTCTGCCCTTTATCCATCAGACCTGCATCAAACAAAGAATAATGTCAGTTCTTACTTGGGATGCACTAAACCGGGAATTAACTAAATGCAAGAATAATTAAACTCAAGAGCTAGCTAGCGCCTCTCTAATTAATTAGTTGCTTAAAGTTTATCTGTCACTTGTCTGAAGTAACTGGAAATTAGGAACTCATTGATGATAAAGTCAAGGATAACTGGAAATTAGGAAATTAGTATGTTGTGCAGTTTGCAAAAATTGTATTGTAGTAAGATGAGAGTTATATTGATGATGACGTCGAGGATAACTGCTATAGCAATCTTTTTACTAGTGCACTGATCAAAGTAACAAAATTAGATAAGACATTAGCTTTTACTACACTAGGCCCCATCCACATCCACATTCAAATCTACCTTGAAAAAATTATCTGGGAATATTGAGACAGCGACTCAATGCTGTCAACTTGTATTTGGATGCTGGTCAAGATATGTTTCCAACTGCCCTGTCGCTGCCAAGATAAGACCTAGAATTGCAATGTCACAGATGTCAAATGAAGTACAGAGACTTAATGACTTGATAGAGCATCACTGAATGTAAATGAGAATTGTAAAGTGACAAACCGTAATGTACTTCGAAACAAGCATGGCCCAAGTTCTATATCAAACACTAGAGATACAGCAGAGAAACATGGTAATTCAAAGATGCATGTTGCAGCATATACATGTCTCCCAGTAATAACAGGAAATGTGAGTATATGACATCTAAAGCTCACTTGTTTGTACTAGTACCTAAAAAGAGAGTTGAGGGCTTCCCAGGCCGTGATTTAAATTGTGGATGAAATTGCACTCTTACATAGAATGGATGGCTTGGAAGCTCTAAAATCTGCAGAACAGAAAAGTAACACAAATCATGTAAAAAGTCAAATATTCAAATTCAATCCTTTTCAGTAAATGGTAAGAAAGGATTGTGTGCAACTATAACCAAGTAAATTCTGACAAATGCTCACTACAAGTGAGCATAAGACCAGCAGAAAACCCACCTCCATTCGTCTTCCACTGTCATCCTCCCTACAAATTTTAGGCCCGCTTCTTCAAGAATTCCAATAACATCTGGGTTCACCTGCATCATGACGGAATCAGACCATGTCCACCACATAAAGGCACTTGTGAAAGATCATGTTTCACCTGAACTAAATTACAACCAAGCTTATATCTATGCCAATGTCGTTCATCCACACACTCCAAGTTATGGTACCTAGAAATTGATAGCAATACAGATTACGAATGTTAAAAGTGGATGCTAATAGTAGAAAACTAAGAAGTTTCAAAGTGGTGGTCTTCTGGGATTAGTTCTGATATAAGCAGTCACAGATACAACATAGAGTTGAAATGTCAGGAAAGACTTCCTGCAAAATAATAAACTAGCCAACAAAGTTGAAGAGTTTTACAGTATAAAATTTAGTCATTAAAAAATAAAAAATATGTCTTAATCAATTTACTGACCATGAAGTATTATTGGTCATTAAATTCACTGTATTTGTGACCATTATTAATGTGGTCACAAGGAAATTGGTCACTACTGACCTTTTTTCTTGTAGTGATATATATATTCTGCCACTAAAGGTGCCTTAATTTCCTTACACAGTTATATAATATAGCGTTTTGGACTTAGAAAAAAAAAACCAAGAAACTTTGTGTTCTACAATTAAAGACTTGTGCTTAAATGTTAAGCTTTTCTGTCTAGTGGTTCAGGAGCAATGAATCAATTAGCCAAAAACTTGGCATGTGAGTGGACAAAAGATAACATATGGTCTAATAGTGTTGCACCTTGGCTCATCACAACTCCCCTTGGTGAACATGTTAGTTGATCATATCCACATCATGTACTTGTACGACTAGGCCTAAAAGTACTAGCTATTGTCTCATTTAGTTGCAGAGTGTTTGGAGCTTCCTATAAAATCTGTAAAGAAACACTATTTCTTGCTTTACGTAGAATTCTTTTGACATCTTACCATTAAATTTTTGTTGCTTGTACCTTCTTTCAGAAGCACAGAGCCTCAAATGCCTGTTGGTCAATACGTTGAGTCCTTTCGGTAATCACAATATCTTCTAGAACTAGCAGAAAATTTATTTTTTCTGTCTTTGTATCCCATTGAAAATTTTGATATTTTATTCTATAATTCTTGTTTTGTTGTAGATAAGTATTTGATATTTTAGGCTTTAACATTTGGGAAGGGGATGTAATTAGGAAGTAGGCCATTGTAATTAGGAGGTAATTGGGAGTTGCATAAGTAATAAGTTAATTGTTCTTTTCTTTTCCCTTGGATTTGTAGGAATTGTTGTTGAACTTGTATTGATAAACTTTAAACACTTGTGGTTTTAGAAGTTGATACTGAAATTTTGGAATAAGTTAGCTGTTAATAATGTGTTGTTGCAAATTTTCTATATTTTTTAATATGCAACTGCTTAACAGTTAAATCACCTTGTTTGATTTTTCTCAACACTTAGGTGAAACCTTAAGAGGGATGAACTATGGCTGCTTCTTGGAAATGATAGGTGCACTTTGTTGGTTAGATAAGATTTGCAAATGCATATATGTAAACTTTAGTTATCAAACTTCAATTTCCTATGTATATTGTCAAAAGCATATATCTACTGCAACGTGCATTGCATATTGTCGTAAAACATTTAACAACGTGCATCGCATGTTGTCAAAAGCATATATCTACTACAACGTGCATTGCGTGTTGTCGTAAAGCATTTAACAACACCTGCCGTATGTTGTCGAAAGTCAAAACCTTTCAAATTTCAATGAAATAGGCTTCTACAACACGCTCTGCGCATTGTTGAAACCCTTTAACAACGCACATTGCATGTTGTTAAAAGGCTTTTTGCATGAAATGTATTTGAATAATATTATCATTATTTAATAATGGAATATGTATTTATTATTTGGTATGATTCACCAAAACTTACCAAGCAAGGACGAAATCGACGATTCTTCAATTCAATGCAATCAAATTTTGTTCAGGGAGTCGGTTTCACATTCCAACTTGAACTCCGTTTGCCATAATATATCAAGATAATTATTTACTTGATTAGGAAAATATTTTCTTTTATTATTTATCTTTCCAAAATAGATTAGGGTTTTGACGCTATAAAACTAAAACTATATGCAAAACAGATTGTTAGTTTAATTCCCAAGGCATGACATCTACACATGAAAATCATTTGAGAATAATTTGTTGTCAAAGATCCGCGGATAACTCCTATTCTTGTTGGGAAATCTTATATTCCTTTGGTAAATAGGTTTGTTTTTCCTATTGTTCTAGGGAAAGTCGTATGTCTTTATAAAATAGTCCTTTGTGGGTGAAAGAAAATCTTAACTTTGAGGGTGTGTGAAGTGAGAAACCCTAACTAGCCACAGAGTACATAGCCTCACTACACTCGCCCTGCCGCCCTCTCTCTCTTCTCTCTGTTTCTTCACTTCTTCTCCCTATAAGCTTTTCTCTCCCGCAAATTTGTTTTTTCTTTTTCTTACCAGTATGGATGGGGAAGGATCTGCTTCAGGAAGTGGTAGTGCGCTACCGACTTCTGATTTGAATGTTCAATACACATCCCTTTATTCCAGGGGGAACATCC